TACAAAAACACAAGAGAAATACTTCAATGGAATTATAAAAGGTAACATTAAAAAATTCTATTTCCCAGTCTAAAAAATACTTTTCACACTTAAACATTTTCTAAAATCAAGGTACATCTCACAACAGATATATACATTTCATCTAGATCTCCTTTTCCTTTAAACTACTATCATTAACTAAATGGTACACTTTACATAATTATGGTATCTTAGAATTAGGGCAGTATTTCATAAAAATGTCAGAAAGTTGGACCTAAATCATTTGTCTAAGATAAAGTTTTCAAGATTCTTTAACTGACTATTTAAAGTCAACCATCTTGAAGAATACTGAAGCATCCCAGAAACTTTAAGATCAAACAAGTGGCTTCCAAGCCTAAGAACCTAAGAGTCTTTCAAGTTCAAACAGCTAAGTCCTCTTCCTATGATCTGTTCTATTTAATCAGCATTATAGTCCAACTCCAAAAGGAAAAGGAAAAGTTCTCCATATTTCTAACTAGAAATGTTTTAGGCAACTACTACCTTCAATGATGATTGGTAACTACAAAATTAACAAGCTCATCCTCACATCAAAATGAGGCTAAAAGAGCACTGGCCTGTGGTTGAAAAGCCCAAATTCTAATCTCGTCGTTACAGTTAAATTATCTGGGTGACCTTGGGTAAAATATGTATTTAGCACCAAGTTCCCTTCCAGTGAAAATCCTGACTCCTCAGACGCATGACTTATTCAAATTACCCAGATCCGAACACTTAATACCTATTTATATTTTATTTTTTCTGAACTTTTTAAAAGTGCTGCTGGCCACAGCCCATCCTAGAAAGAATCCTGACAGAATAATTTATAGAACTGCTATAACTTCATGATTATAAGTTTTTCTCCTCCCAGTGATCTGAATTAAGTCAGGGATCTGGAAAAGGCATCCTAAGAGAACATCATCTCAGATCAAGAAAAAGTCAAGCCAGTGTTTAACCCGACAGCTCTACAAATAGAAAGATCTGTTTTCTAGGTAGAAAGGTCAATTTCTTGAGTAAACTACCAGTCTTTTAAAGAAGGACCATATGGAAAGTACAAAGCAATGCTTTTCCAGTGAGACTGGATGGAAAATACTTAACTTCTGTTTGCTGTTTTTTTCTTTATTATCATTTAACACCAACAGTATTAAATGAAATGTGGAAGTCACTAAATAGCCTTCTGTTAACTGAAATGTTAAACTGTCTCTGGTATCACAGGTGACGTTTTTACCAATTCCCCATTTTTTAATTATAAATGACAGAATTAAGAGAATTTCAATCTATATACTGTATATTCATTTAAAAATCTTACATCATGCACCTTGGCTGGTGTGGCTCAATGGACTGAGCACCGGGCCTGAGAACCAAAGGGTCGCTGGTTCAATTCCCAGTCAGGGCACACACCTGGGTTGTGGACCAGGTCCCTGGGTGGGGGTGTGTGAGAAGCAACTGATTGATGTTTCTCTCCCTCTCTCCCTCCCTCCCTTCCCCTGCCTAAAAATAAATAAATAAAATTTTTAAAATAAATAAAAATCTTATATCATGCAAATAAAAAACTAAGTGGTAAAATGTAATTAATCTGACATTAACAACAAAGATTTTTATATAGAAAATATTTTAACTTACATAACTAAGTTAAAAGTAAGTTAAAAAATAAACCCATTGACAGTACTGATTGTTGACTTTTCTTCTCCTACAGTTAATCACTTCTATTTTGAACCAACTCCTGGTGAGTCCACATTAATTTTTAAGCTATTATAAACTATAAATCTATTAATAAACTTAAGGTAATGTTATAATTAATGTTTTTATTTCTAGGGCCTCCTTGGGGTAAGATTAAATTTCTATGATTATACTGATAAAAGTGGCATTTAATCTCAGAGAAGGTAAGAAGAATAATTCTTGGGAACAATAAAAATATATGGCAGAATTGAACTTAACTGATCTACCCAATCTAGAGCTTATGAATTATAGAGCTTATGAATTATAAGCTCGATTTCCTCCAAGAGCTTTAGATCAGAATTTCTACAAGTCTAAAGAGGTATTTTCATAAATGCTCATGGTATTTAACAAAATTTTAGTTTACAGAAATATATGCAATATTAGGTTAAGAATTTCAAACAGTAAATATCACCTCAAACTTATTGTTGTCTTATGGACAATTCACAGAGCAGTAAGCAAAGCTTGCCATGAAACTACCAAAGCTAGAAATGGCCTGATCTCAAGGCAACGCATCTCAACACATAACATCAGCTCACATGATGGAAAGCTATAGACTTTGAGACTTCCATATTGATTTCCACCCAAGTTTGCTTTCATTTAAAATATATGAAAGGTATATCCTTTTTTTAAATATCTAATTAATGTCAATTAAAATTATATAGAGCATGTATTTATTCTAATCTACTTAGAGAGAAGCCAACAAACCAAATCCTCTTAATTCCAGTATTGAAAAAGGAACTGGATTTCACCCAAGTTTTCCTCCTGACAAGTTTCATTGCCCTCAAGTGATTATTCAGTGCTTCCTACCACTTCAAATGTTCTCATCAGACCGTCAAGGGTCAAGTGGGAGGAATTAAAGCTCTATGTTGCAGAAAAGACAGTTGAGGATTCAATTTATCAGCATTTACGTATAACAGAACCACATTATTCTCCACCTCCTAATATACATGATTACACCAATACTAATCCATCAGCAATAAAATAACCCTAATATTGGAGGTATGGGTGGAGGAAGAGAAGAAATTATGGAAAAATACCTTCATATAATAACTATAATCTTTATCATTTATTTCAGCAGAAATAATTCTCTCAGCACTGTATCAGAAGTTATACAAGGTTAGTAAAATCTGATTCCAAGCATTAACATACATTTTAAATATTTTTATCTTGTTTAATAGTTTCAGATTGTTACATGTTGATAAATTAACAATATGACAGACACAGGTATGAACAAAACCAAATTAATACAAATGCTTTCTTCATAGAATATATTTTAAAACCAGTTTTATTAAAACTTCACAAATATTTTAGAAAATACTAATCACATTAAGTCCTTATACTGTAAGACAGAGTAACATTCAGCCTCTAAAACTGGTTAGAATTTTCAAGCGCCCTCTTTAGCTACTGGATATTTAGATTTTTAGATAGTTATGCTCTTATGCAAGTTTAGCATATGGTTCTATTTGAGTTTGAAACTCTTTCACACCTCAAGAGTACCAAGACAAACACTGATTATTTATCCTTAGGTTAAGATATTATCAAATCAATTGTCTTTGGGCCAAATTATGCATACCATTTCAACAATACTACTCAAATCAAATTTGGCCTTTAATTTCAAGCCACAAACCACAAATGTATTACTATGGGTAACGTTATTATTAAGTAATATATAATCTTCCAAACTGCATACTTAAAGTAACAAATCCTGACAGCTTCATAACCTTAGTAGGGAATACAGCAGACAGAGAGTAAGTTTTGGAACCAGGCAGCCCAGGACTCAAACCGTAGCTCTGTCCCTACCTGAGTACACCTTGGGGCACTGTTTCTAAATGCCATTTTCACCCTTGAGGTGGAAATACCACTACCTGACTTCACAGGGTTGTGAGGACTAAGTGATATAATGTAGAATCAACAAATGGTAACTATTATTACTATTTATTTTACTAAATATCTCTAAAAAACAAAGTCTTTATATCTAATATATAAGAAAAGCAAATACGTAAGCAATATCACCAACTGAAATGTCTTAAACTGAAATTTTAATGTTTTTTTCTCTATTCTAGATGGTGCTGGATACTTACGGTTATCAGATTATCTATCCATAAATTTGTAGCAGCAGCTTTATCATTTTGCACACTATTTAAATGTTCTAGTGAAAACTCCAAAGTACCACAAAGAATTTGTTAGCCATAGACCCTGTGCTTTAGTAATTCTTTAAATAAAATTTAAATATAACCTAATATCTTTACTAATATCAGTTTAAATGTATAAAAACAATTATAAAAAGTAAATGTCATTCCTAAGGACATTGCTCAAACTTTCTCAAGAGCTTTTCTAAGGTGCTTCAATTTTAAAGTATTCTATTCAGTGCCAAAAAGAAGCAATTTCTTCCCGCAAAACAGTAAAAGTAGAATTAGACTTTCGTGCAGGGAAAAGGTCATCCTACCCCCCCATGTAAGGCACATATCATCCTTCCCAGGCACAAGTCCCTTATTACATACCAAAGACCAGGAATTTACAGATTTTAGAAAATTAATGCCACATATAAACCTTGTAATTTTTCCAGAGGAGTTCAAGGGAAACATCCTACCATTTCTCAGCAAAACTGACAGTCACACTAAGGGCAAAAAAAGCTCCCTGTCAGTTCAGTTCAGTTTTACCACCAAAGGAGTAGTTTTGACACTAAATTGGAAAAAAAAAAAAAAAAACTTTTGATTTACCTTATCCCTAGTTCTGTCCTCTTGCTACACAGTAAGCTTAATGCCATTTTCAAATGTCTGAAAAAAAACAACAACCATGTCTATATTCTCTAAACCTCCTTTCTTCAAATGTATCATCTGTTGTCCAACTGGTATGAAGGTGGAATTAAGACAGACCCCACTTCAGGTTTGCAGGAGTTGATATCAGGGTGCTTTCCCAATGGGTATCTTAGCCAGGATATGAGACGCATGTCCACTGAGACAAGGCGGTTGTATTTTCCTTGCTTCTCCCTGCTACCAAGAGCATTCCTTTGCTCTGGGAATTATAATATTAACAGTGAGTACCTCAAAAGCCCATTTCAATTCTTAATATGCCCTAACAAAAACACTAACCCCCCAAGACCTCCCTCTCTGTCTCTGTCTGATTCTAATTCCTTTTTAAACATCTATTTTAATTCACTTATAATATATACAGTTATAATCAATAGAGTAAAATAAATATATAAACATAAATCACTAATTTTCTGGACATGTTTTTACTTCAGAATTTTTGAAAATGAGAACATAAGCTCTTATTCATTGATCTTTATTGACTAAGGGGGCTGAAATTTCCTCGTAACTGAAGCCTCTAAAAACAAGAAAACATAAAGTTCCCATTTTTGAAATCAGTTTCAACAAGATCATACAAAACAAAATGTTAAGCAAATAATTAAACCATAACTCAGATTACACAATGGTGGTGCTTCTTCTAATGGAGCTTGATATGGCAGAAACATCCTTTAGACCACAGAAAAGCAAGGGGAACAACAACAGAAAGAACTGACAGACAAGGACCAGATGGAAAGCAGAAGTTATGGCTGATCAGAAACTTATTTTCAAAAGAATATGAAGTCCCATCCTACCTGAGGCAGTATAGGATAACCACATTTAAGGTGGAGTGAGAACATGCATATAGACAGAAGGTAGACATCACTCAGTGCCAGGGAAACCCTGGGACCTGGGCCACCTGATGTTCTACCTTCACAGCCCCTTGTTCATGTGTGAGGGAAGGCCTGGAGTGCCAATGGCATAAGGACTGTTTTTCCATTGTAGTTGTTATTATTATTTTTATATTTGAGCAATGGCTCAAAAAAATTACTTAAAGTCTGAAAAAAATTTCAAACTTTCAATAGAAGCTAATGGGTTAATTTGGTTTTGAAAAATAAGTCAGTGTACCTAACATGTCCCTTTGCTATCATGGCATCACAACAAGTTTCATGCTGAGAACTAGCACTGAACAAGGAACAAAGAACTACCAGAATTGATACCACCTACATGTAACACAGCATCTCCTGACTATATATGTTTCAGTGATTCAAGAAATCAAACTTAAATCCCCCCACCAAAAAAACAAAGAGCATCAAAGTTGTTTAAATTTGGTTTAAAGGCATGCTTAAAATAGAATACATACAAAATACATTTATATTTCTTTTGACTAGAAAGCCAAAAATACCATGTTGGATTTCACCATATCTACCTAATTTTATTCTGATGTAAAACCTTCTAAATGAAAATCGTTTGAAAAGTGAATAAAATTATTTCCAAGTCATCAACCCTGCCCTCTTGCCAGTATCAGTTCTGTTGATAGTGCCTTCTTCTCAGTGTGTGCTCCTTGGCTCAACTTCGGCTTACATGGAGGCTGTGAGCTATAACCCATGGCAGTCAGTTTCAGAGTCTTCACTCCAGTGTGCATCTCGCTTCTCTGCAACTAGTTTGATGAACTGAGAGTGACTCGCATAGAGCTTCAGTTTATCACTGATGTCCACCCACTTCACTTTCCCAGCGTCATCTCCAGCTTCAAGGGTGAGGTTATCCATGATCTCACCTGGTTAACAAAGAAAAAAACATAACCAAGAAAAAGCAATTCATTTATTCATTTCTTTTCCACATAACTGTCTTCAACTATTCTTGCTAAAAATAAGTGAACAATCATTGTCTTAGGTGGCCAAGTGAATTAAAAACTAGGATCATCCAAATTTTCCAAATCTCCAAATTTTAACTAAGCTTCAAAATTTTAAGTAGAGGCACCAGTGAGAAAGCATTTCTCTTTGGAAGTAAAGGACATTATTGTAAAAAAAACCTTCATATGTAAATAAGCATAAAACCTTATACGAAAATAAATCCCAGAGAGATTACAGATTTAAATATAAAAAAAACAATTATTGATGACTTGTTTTAGAGTTGGATAGTGAACTTTTCTACGTATGACACCAAATGAAAAATCATAAAGTATTTGTAATTATATTAATGAATACATGTACTGTACTTATTTATATAATTATATTTATGGAAAAATAAATGCTCTCAATCAGTATGAGGAATGTAAATGGCATATTTCTATAGGATAATCTGGCAATGTTTAACGAGTGCTTTTAAAAAGCAAACTCTCTCTAGTGAGCATTCATTCAACAAATAGGAGTATCTCTTATGTACCAGATAGGCACTGAGGATACAATAAGCCAGCCACTCAGCATTTCTACTTCAAAGAATTTATCCTAAAGAAATAAAAAGACAAGTCTTTTCAAGTATTCAAGACAACATTATTTATAACCAAAAAGAAGAAAATGGACATAAACAAACTTTCCATCAATAGGGCACAGATTAAATGATGGGACAGCTACACAATGGACCCCCATATAATCATTAAAAATGAAGCCAATCTGTATAAATTGATAGGGTAAGATTTCTAAATTTTTAAAAGAAGATCTCAAATACAGGTAAAGTTACATTTTTATGTTTTTTATTTGTTTTTTGTAAATATTTTATTATTTTCTTAAATATTTTGTTTATGCTATTACAGATGTCACAATTTCCCCCCTTTGATCCCCACCACAAAGCCCACTCCCCCACTCCCACAGGCATTCCCCACACCACTGTCCATGTCCATAGTCCTTCATATGTGTTCTGACTAATCCCTCCACCTTCTTTCAACCAGTCCCCATCTTCTGCCCTCCCATCTTACAGCTGTCAGTCTGTTCCATATTTCTGTATCTGATTGTAATTTGCTAGTTACTTTATTTGATTAGATTCCACTTATAAGTGAGATCATATGGCATTTATTTTCCACTAACTGGCTTATTTCACTTAGCATAAGTTTCCAATTCCATCCATGTAATTACATTTTATAATGCTACATAGTACTTCATTGTGTAAAGGTACCACAGCTTTTTTTATCCATTCTTCTACTGATGGGGACTTAGGCTGTTTCCAAATATTGGCTATTGTAAATAATACTGCTATAAACATAGGAATGCATATATTCTTTGAAATTGGTGTTTTGGGATTTTTAGGATATATTCCCATAAGTGGAATTGTGGAGTCAAAAGGTAGTTGCATTGTTAATTTTTGAGGAAATTCCATACTGTTTTCCACAGTGGCTGCACAAGTATGCATTACCATTAACAGTAAACTAGGGTTCCCTTTTGTCTACAACCTTGTCAGCACTTATTATTTATTGATTTATTAATGATAGCCATTTAGACAGGTGTGAGGTGATTATCTCATTGTGGTTTTAATCTGCATCTCTCTGATGGTTAGTGGTATTGAGCATTTTTTTCATGTCTATGAGCCACCTGTATGTCATCCTTGGAGAAATATCTGTTCAGGTCCTTTGCTCATTTTTAATAGGATTATTTGTCTTCCTGGTGTTGAGTCATATGAGCTCTTTATATATTTTGGAGATTAAACCCTTGTCCAATATATCATTGGCAAGTGTGTTCTCCCATATAGTTCGTTGCCTTTTCATTTTGATGATGGTTTCTTTAGCTGTGAAGAAGCTTTTTAATTTGATGTAGTCCCATTTATTTTTTTCCTTTATTTCCCTTGCTTTAGGAGATGTATCAGCAAAAATATTGCTATGAGAGCTATCTGAAATTTTATGGCTTATGCTTTCCTCTAGGATTTTTATGGTATCACAACTTGTATTTGTCTTTCATCCATTTTGAGTTTTTTCTGGTGTATGGTATATGTTGGTCAAGTTCATTTTTTTGCATGTCCTGGTCCAGTTTTCACAACAGCATTTATTGAAGAGACTATCTTTAGTCCATTGTATGCTCTTGTCTCCTCTGTCAAATACTAATTGATCATAAAGGCATGGGTTTATTTCTGGGATCTCTGTTCTGTTCCATTGATCTATGTGTCTGTTTTTATGCCAGTACCAGTCTGTTTTGATTACAATGGCCTTATAGTTTATTATCAAGTACTATGATCCCTCCAATTTTGTTGTTCTTTCTCAAGATTGCTGAGGCTATTCAGGGTCTTTTCGGTTCTATGTAAATTTCTGGAATATTTGTTCTAGATCTGTGAAATATGCCATTGGTATTTTGATAGGAATTGCACTGAATCTATAGATTGAGTATGGGCATTTTAATGTTAGTTCTTCCAATTCATGAACACATATTATATATATTCACTTATTTGTATCTTTCTCAATCTCTTTCTTCAGTGTCCTATAATTTTCTGAGTACAGGTCTTTTACATTCTTGGTTAAATTTATTCCTAGGTACCTTATCTTTTTGTTGCAATAGTAAAATGGATTGTTTTCTCAGTTTCTCTTTCTGATAGTTCATTATTGGTATATAAAAATGCCATCAATTGGGGGGTATTTTGTACCCTGCTACCTTGCCAGATTCATTTATCATGTCTAGTAGTCTTTTGATGTAGACACTGGGTTTTCTATGTACAATATCATGTTGATGGCAAATAATGTCAGTTGTACTTCCTCCTCTCCAATTTGGATGCCTTTATTTCTTCTTCTTGTCTGACTGCTTTGGCTAGGATTTCCAATACTATGTTGCATAAAAGAGGTGCAAGTGGTCATCCCTGTCTTGTTCCTAATCTTAATGGAAACATTTTAGTTTTTGCCCATTGAGTAAGATGCTGGCTGTAGGTTTTATGTATATTTCCTTTATTATGTTGAGGTATGATCCCACTAATCCCTGCTGAGAGTTTTTTATCATATAAGTAGATGCTGGATTTTATCAAATGCTTTTTCTGCATCTATTAATATGATCATGTGATTTTTATCTTTCACTTTGTTTAAGTAATATATCAAATTTAGTGATTTGTGAACACTGTATCAACCTTGCAATCCCTGGGAAAAATTCCACTTGATCATTGTGTATGATCTTTTTCATGTATTGTTGGATCCAGTTTGCTAATATTTTGTTGAGGATTTTAGCATCTATGTTAATCAGGGATACTGACCTGTACTTTTCTTTCTTTGTTGTGTTTTTACCCGGTTTTGGAATTAGGCTAATACTAGCCTTGTACAATAGAAAGTGTTTGAAGGTCTTCCCTCCTCTTGAATTTTTTCAAATAGTCTGAGGAGGATAGGTGTTAATTCTTCTTTGAAGGATTGGTAAAATTCACCTGAGAAACCATCTGGTCCAAAACTTTTGTTTGCTGGGAGTTTATTACTGCTTCAATTTCATTAGTTGTTATCAGTCTACACAGATTTTCTGATTCTTCCTGACTCCGTTTTGGAAGACTGTATGTTTCCAGGGATTTTCCTCTTCATCCAGGTTGTCCAATTTTTTGGCATGTAAGTTGTTCATAGTATTTTCTTACATTCCTTTGTATTTCTGTGTTATCAGTTGGGACTTCTCCACTGTCATTTCTGATTTTCTTTCTTTGAGTCTTCCTTTTCTTGATTAGTCTGGTTAACTGTTCATCAATTTGGTTTATCTTTTCAAAGAACCAGCTCTTGGATATTTTGAATTGAATTTTTTACTGTCTAGGTCATTTATTTCCATTCTGATCTTGATTATTTCCTCCCTCTACTTATTCTGGGCTTTTCCTATTGTTGTTTTTCTACTTCTTTTAGGTGTAGGATTAGATTGACAATTTTCTATCTTCTTGAGGTAGGCCAGTATCACTGTGAACTTCCCTCTTAGGGCTGCTTTCACTGTGATTCACAGGTTTTGAGTTGTTATGTGTTCATTTTTATTTGTTGCCAGGTACTTCTTGATTTCTTCCTTGATCTCACTGATAACCCATTCATTATTTAGTAGCATGCTATTTAATCTCCATGTATTTGAATATTTTTGAATTTTTATTGAGGTTGATTTCTAGTTTCATACCATTGTGACCCAAAAATGTTTGGTATGATTTCAATTTTCTTGAATTTAAGACTTATTTGTTTCCTAACACTTGGTTTGTCTTTGAGAATGATCCATGTGCACTTGAGAAGAATGTTTTCTGCTGCTTTGGGAAGAAATGTTCTGCAAATATTAATTAAATCTGATCTAGGGTGTCACTTAAGGTCACTGTTTCCTTGTTAATTTTTTTTTGTCTGGAAGATCTATCTATTGGTGTCAGTGGGGTATTAAAATCCTCTACTTTGAATGTATTGCTGTCCATCTTGCTCTTAAAGTCTACCGAGAGTGTGAGAGTGTGTGTGTGTGTGTGTGTGTGTGTGTGGTATTTAGGCGCTCCTATATTGTTCACCAGAGTTATATCTTCTCATTTGACCTTTGGGGCCAAAATAAGAGACCAAGAAGGTCACTACATCCATAGTTGGGACATCTGTAGTGACCTTCTTTGTCTCTTACTATGGCCTTTCTTTTGAAGTCTATTTTGTGGGATATCAGTTTTGCCACCCAACTTTTTTTGTTTCCATTTGCATGGAGTATCTTTTCCCATCCCTTCACTTTAGCCTGTATGAATCTTTTATTCTGAGATGGGTCTCTTGTAGACAGCATATATATGGGCCATGTTTTCTTATCCATTCAGGTGCCCTTTGTCTTTTGATTGCAACAGTTTATGCATTTATATTTAAGGTCATTATTGATAAATTCTCATTAATTGCCATTTTTTCCCCTTTAT